ACCCTGAGAAGCAAAGAAGGATTATTCCAGCACTTCTCCCTCCTTCCAAGAGAGAACCCACTGTGAAAAAGGGACTACTTTCCTTTTTTTTTTTCTATGAAGGAAACTGTTTCCTCCTGTCTGTATGCTGCCGTATCTGCTCAGCCTTGCTGGGTGCTAAAGATATGCTGCTTTAGGTTCTCTGCTTCTGTCACCCGTGGAGCCATATGCCAGAGGAGGGAGAGTGGGAGACCCCATGCTGTAGCAGCAGCAGGAGCAGCGGAGCTGGGGCCAGTGCCTGAGGTGCTCCGAGAGGGACTCGCCCGAGTCACTGACAGCCCCACAAGGGCAGATCACCCCGAAGCCAGCACCCTCCCTCCTGGGGGTGAGGTGCAGGATGACACGTGCTGGGCAGGGAAAAACTCTCTGGAGCAAAGCTACGCTGTACTTTGTCTAGTAACCTCAGGAGAGGGGCTAGGGAGTGAGGGGCAGGTTGGCATCGCTTCCACTTGGAGCATCCCACACCTGAGCTTGTGGGCTGCGGGCAGGGAGACCTCCTGGCAGGGTGGCAGGCAGCAGCCTCCCAGGAGCCCACCGGCCACCGCCATCCCCCAAGGCAGCACTGCAGGGTGCAAGGCGGGACGCAGGGCACTCCAGCGTCGCGCCCAAGGGGTTTGCGCAGTGCTAGGCGTAACGGGAGGAGTCGAGAGCTTAAAACTTCCATTTGCTTGGTGAGAAAGAAGCCGGAGAAATGCATCTCCGCGTACCTCTGTGGCGTCTCAGATCCGCTGCAAGGTTAAGTCATTAGCTGAGCCCAAATCCTTCTCCTTAAAAGGTTCTTGACGTGCTACGCAGCTTTCCCTCCCTGGCCAGGACGCCCTGGCCTTGAGCCTATCCAGTTTATCCTGGGCGCTCGAACGTCCCCGGGCTGCAGCAGGGAGCTGAGCTGACCCCAGCTCCTGGGCACCTCGGCAGCGAGCTCGGGGCCAGCCCGGGGACGTGCCCAGGGCCAGACACTCTGCGACATTGCAGCCACGCCTGCACAGAGCCACAGAGCCAGGGATCGCCTTCTTCTCTGCCCCCCTCAGAGCAGAAAGCCAGGGAGTGCCCCTGCCCGCGTCCCAGCCCAGCACTGCTGCCCCTCGGCCACGTTTGGCAGGCAGACCCATGTTGGTAACCCAGCACCGGACATCGGAGGGGGTTTCTTGGGGGTACCGTACGACCCACATACCTGCAGCACTGCTCTTCAGGCTTTTTCCCCCCCTCTCTCTGTTCGGAGGTGTTAACAGCAGACCGCTCTTGATGCCTGCCATGATGCCCACCCCAGTTCACAAAGCTGCGGTCACCCAGCGGTGTCTGTATTCCCCTCCCTGCCATTTTTCCTACATGGCAGCACCGAGGAAAGCTAATGGGCTCAGGTAATTTTGTCTTCTCAGGTAGAGAATTACGGCAAACAGTAACGTGCCTGAATCAAAATGACAGACCATGTAGTAATATTTTTTTACTTCACGCTGCCTGCCCTGCCTGACCCAACTCTCAGCCGAGCTGCCTGCCATAGTGATTATTTCACCCGCCACAACAAAAATCATTACTGGACGCCGCAAAGTCTTCAGTGTTGAAACCCAGCCCTCCTTGGAGACGAGCAGGATTTAGCTGGGGCTGAAGCCCACGCAGAAGCCCCAGCCACCCGCTGCTTCGCCCGGGAGATTATCACCTCCAACCACACA